CTGCCTGATCTCTGTCACCAGACGTCTTTCTTGAACATTACTAGCATCGCACTGTTTTGTTTGCACAACTTTCTTGCTCATAAGTTTCATTATCAGTTCTCGATACAAATGCTGTATACATACTTACATTTACATGAATACATTTCTTTGTGTTCAAGTCTTTATGCATTTCATAACTCTGAAAACATCAATTGAACTCTGTAAATCGAAAGAGGTGCCAACAAAACACAGGAAACTTAGATCTGTCAACATTTTATTGCGTTCTTGTATGTCCCTATTTACACTACTTTCCTTATACCTCTATTCCAACAAATTCACACATGCAAATTTTGTTTTCTAGACTAAAATATGGATAATAAACTTACACAACGCATTGTAAAAGAGAGCCTGGTTACATACAGTAGACTAACAAGTGGTCATTAGTTATCTCATAGAAAAAGATTAACTTGATTTACCCTTAATGTGCTGAGCAATGCTACATAACACTATGTGTTCCACATTTAATGCAAGCCAAATGTTCGATTTCCTTGCATGCGTGGAAAGTAACGAAGAGCACCAAATAAATTTTCTTAAAGAATGACAGATGCCACTGCAAGCAACAGCGTCGAAGAAACTCAAAAGAGGATGAATTGATAAACGTTCTCAAGAAATAAAGAAGCTAAAGTCTACAATACAACTAAAATCAATTGAACCCCACAGACAAAAACTTGCATGCCCCTGACCTTCAGGGTTCTTTATTAACATGGTGGATGAACCCATGGCAAAGTGAGAGCTGTTTTGCCAAAAAGCACACACAGAAAAAAAAAGTGTTCATGTGATCTTCAAGGCTCTTCAGACAGGATGGGTGACAGTAGAAACCGAAAAAGGGATGCTCTCTTGTGTGGGTTGTTTACCTGTGCTTTGAAAAATTCACGTTCTGAGTGAACGCAGCAAGACCCAGATTAAGTGCAGTAAGTGCATTTAAGGCGTGACTGTTTCTCGAAGATATTACCCTTATGAAAAGAAGTGGAGATAGTTAATCAATGCTAGCTTCAATATCCCCTTGAGGTGAAACATAACTGAAATGCAATGGCTGACTGGGTTAGCTTCACAATGAAGTACAAGATATCAGCTACAATGAAGTACAAGATATCAGCTGTTTACATATTTAAAAATCATTCTAAAGATACGGCAGTGCGACAGCATTGAGTCACCACCAAACACAGTGTCAACTTATCAGACTTGCATAAACACGTTCAAAATTAAAATTAATTCCTACTTTCAGGGCATTCACAACAACATACCCCCCTCTCAATGGGTGATGTGGTTTTGGCGGTGCATTAGTCGCACATGTCGTGCATTTGTGTACCTTGCCAGGCCATCACAGTGTCTTGCATCATTTACACCACACTTTTTCACAGTGTAATTCCAACACGAGTGACATGTGAAGGAAGCCGTGCCTGGTGATTAAATGCACACCGATAATGTAATCAGTGATGTCGTGTTACGATGCTGAAGTGGGTACAGACCCCACAATAGGCTATGATAACCCCTCTTCACAGCAGAGAAGGGTGGCCAGGTTGAAGACTCCAGACCAGCTAAAGCACATTGTTCTACACCTTATAAATTCACTATTCTATGAAACACTTTTTGCAAAATACTCGCATGCTCGCGTGATAAAAGTATGCAGTTGTCCCTTCATCATAACTTTTAAACCATAGGTCTCTTCACTGGCCCTTTCAGACACCATTCTTGCCAGTAGCCACCTATTTAAACGAGCACTAATGAAATACAAAAAGGTGTTATCCGATATTAGCATTCAGTTATGTAGGTAATCATATCTGAAGAAGGGGGCCTCTTCTTCCCACTCTATTTTATGACACCATGGGACTTCCACCAAATTGTGCCAATCTCCATTCTGAACTGCAACACTAAAAAGCTTTTCCAACCTCAAACCACAGCTTCACAACGGCTTCTAATCTGCAAACTCACCCCTCCCATAGCACCTAGCACAGTTTGATGGAAGCCTGTAGGTACCTCATCTTTATGACTTCTCATACATATGACAAGACAAGTGAGAAACAAGCGCTGTGTCCTTGAAAAAGATGCACTGCAGTAGACATAAGAAACATGGAAAAGCAATATTCTGCAAGATACTTGATATTCATGCATCTGAATCCTGTTTGCGCACTTTGTAATTTATGTTACCCAATGAAGTCGTAATCCATTAACTTTCATTTTTCCCCCCACAAAAAAAGGCTTCATTCCACTCACATTCAAGCCATCTTCTTCGCATGACAACGGGACATGTGGTCTTTGAGGCTGTCTTTCCGCGAATAGGACGCATGGCACTCGTCGCAAGAAAACGAACGCCCATCGGAGTGGGTGAACATGTGGTGAGCGAGCGTGGTTTTATGGCTAAAAGAGGCACTGCAGTGGACACAAGAAAAGGGACGCTATCCCATGTGGGTACGCATGTGGTTAACAAGATGCGGCTTCCGTATAAATGATGCACTGCAGTGGACACAAGAAAAGGGACGCTCTCCCGTGTGGGTACGCATGTGCCTAACAAGATGCGGCTTCTGTAAAAATGATGCACTGCACTGGTGACAGGAATAGGGACGCTCTCCCGTGTGGGTGCGCATGTGCGTAACAAGATGTGTCCTTTGCAAGAATGATGCACTGCACTGGTCACAGGAATAAGGGCGCTCTCCCGTGTGGGTGCGAATGTGTTTCCTGAGGGCGTCTCTGGCTGAAAAGGATGTGTTGCAATGAGCACAGGAATAGGGGCGTTCTCCCGTGTGGGTGCGCAAATGAAGCACGAGCTGGCTGTTCTCAGTGAATGCAGCTGCACACAAGTGGCACTGGAAGGGGTATTCGCCCGTGTGTATGCGAAGGTGTCTGTTCATGGAACCCCTTTTCTTGGTCACATAGCTGCACTGCGGGCAGGAATGCAGTTTCACTTGTACTGACACCCACGAAGGGGACTGCTTCGGGGATGCCTCCAACGACGAGGAATCTGCAATGTCATAGGAAGCACAGGAAGAAAATGCTTACCAGGTGTCATAAATTATATGCCAGTCGTCGATATAACTGCATTCTGTTATTTAACTTTGTGTTTACAGCCCCAAGCAATCTGGAAAGAGGCTGTCCTTGTGGCTCTGGTTAGGCCACGATACCCATGGCCTAACAAGAGATGTTACTGAAATTGTAACAGTGCAATGAGATCATATATATCTCTCTGAAGTTTCTAAATCTGCACATAAATTCTAGAATGGATACACGAGAACATCTGTTTCCAGTCCATAAAATTTTTGTTTGGAAGCTATTAAGATACTGTACACACACGTTGAAAATTTTTTTCATGTGGGTGACAATGAAAAGCATAAACCATAAAACTAAATTGCACTGTTTCCTTACATAGAAGTATACGTATAATGCAGGGCGAAAAATGCATCATTTCATATTTGAACAAATGAGACCTAAAAAGGTAAAATGTGAGAGTACGATGTTATTACAATACAGGATGGTAAGTGTAAAGAGAAAAAAATATTTGCAATTACATCTACAACACACATTTTTTGGTGATTGAAAATGCGGCCACATTTCTGAGACTAAGAAAATATATTCTTTCTCAATATGTACTAGGAAGGCTTACCCACTTTTTGTTCATGTTTCGCTCGAGTAAGGTCACGATGACACAAAAGCAAATCTTGTGACAACGTTTGAACTCCACGAGTATAAAGTGGTGGCGTACATACTGGTCCCGTACATATCGCCTCTTATTTCTAAGCCGTGCTTTACTTGAACGAGCAGTGCAACCATGCCGCATCCTATGCCAGTTACATGCTTTGTCGACACTGTTGGTGATGATGAATATTGATTTTGTTCAAGTTATATATGACGAGTGTGCCTTTAAACCACTCGATCGTTGCAGTGTCCACGTGGCATGATGCATGTTGCTATTCAAAACTACTGCCACACAATCCAGAATGGTGCGAATGCGACTCCTCGCACTGTATACCCAAGCGTCAAGCACTGGCATGACTCTGTGGTAGATCCCCTCTGCCTGGATTCCATTGTGATTTTTCACTCACAATCAATGATACCTGCGCCAACATGAAAATTTATGCAGAAAGATCTCTTCAACTCCAGCACGTCAATACTACTGGTAACTTTTAACACAAAAGCGTTAAAAGAGCTTGTTCCACAGAAATACTAGTGTCAACGTCAGTGTGGACATCATTGAAAGTGTCGTCAATTCGGAGCGAAAAATCCGCGTCGCCTGGGAGTGAAAATTTGAGATAGATGCGAACAAATAAAAAAAATCGGTTCAAGTGGGAATTAAATCTAGGTCTTGTGTGTGCTAAGTAGGTTTTATAGCAAGGAGCAACATTACTGTATAGAACTGCTTCGAAAAAAAAAAAATGGCACAGAATAGCGTAGCGGGGCACCATGCTATTCACGGTCAGAAATGGGGCAGTAGTATTCCAATGTCTGATAAAACTAGTATTCTAAACAGGGCCAAAAGTTTGATTGACAAGGAAGATTATTGAAGCCTGTGAAGTAGGAGAAATGAATGACAAGGATGTCGGCATGTCAACCTTGTTTCGTTGCCACAAGTTGCGATAGCGGCAAGTGCACCCCCTTTTGGGTCCTCACTCTGTATCTTTAGAGCTGCATTTTCACGTACAAACGTGTATATGTATGCGTCATGATGATTTCAATATTGCACAAGGGTGAAATCACACCACGAAAACACAAAACTTTAGAAGATAAAAAGCAAATAAGGTGAGCAAGATTTCTGCAAAAAAAACATAATTACCTTTGTTTATTGCAGAAATCTCAAATTATCATAATTCAAGATCATTGTTAACCTCCGGCATAACAAACGAAAAATGCAGCTACAGTGTATTTATAACCAACCTAAAAGGTTGTTTCTCTTAGTGACACTTCGACAAACATATGCACTGTTGAGAAGATAGAACAATATTGGTCTCAAACTATGAGGCCTAAGTAAGTTGACTGTAAGCACAGGACCTCTTTATTATCACGATTCCCAATTAATTTTTTAGTATAAAGATATGCAATAGACCAAAAGAGTAAAATGGGAACATCCAACTTCACACAATTCAATATAACCCAGCCAAAGGCTGCCGCTAGTAAACATTGTCACATCACTGTCACAATTCTGAGTTCATAAGAGGTCACGCAGACATAACACCGGAAATGGATGAATAGTTTCTAAGACTCTGATGCAATTCATTTCAGGCCATTTCTGAAGCTCGCAGATTTTTGGGTGCTCCATGGAAGGAATGAACCAATCTGCAATGGCAAAGATATCACTGTTAAGGCCAGAAGAAACATACACGCTGTGCCTACACAAGGGCTGGGCAGTATCACAATACAACAGCAGCACGACAATGCCTTAGAAGTATCTGTATCTGAGTATACAGATACAGATACTTTTGAGTACCTATATTTTTTTATTGAGATGTTTTTGAAAAACGTATTTGTACCTCAGGAGTGAAATATTTTTATCATGTATCAATTATATCGCGATACTATGCAGGACACGAGTATCTAATTACTTTCTTGTTGAAAATGAGCTGACCTGTTTCTGAGAAGGATCGAATAACCTTTAAGCCGAGCAAAGGCGGGCCCTACATTTTCACGACAGAATCGCCAAGACAGTGTATCGTCACACTCTACTAACAAAAGTCGTGGTACCAGGGCAGGTGCTGCACACCCAATGTTTTTCGATCGGAAAGTCATTTAGCAATTTTTGTGTTGAGGCCGAACCAACACCTTAAAGAAAACATGTTGAAGAAGCTGCTGTGTGAGTGCATTAAACACAAAAACCATCTCAACAACACAGATCTTGCCTAGAATAAATGTACGCAATTCCTTAATTTATAGTCTGGTATGGTATGCGGGGTTTAACGTCCCATAACCACCATATGATTATGAGAGACACCGTAGAGGAGGGCTCCGGAAATTTTGACCACCTGGTGTTCTTTAACGTGCACCCAAATCTGAGCACACGGGCCTACAGCATTTTCGCCTCCATAGAAAATGCAGCCGCCGCAGCAGGGACTCGATTCCGCGACCCGCGGGTCAGCAGCCTATTAATTTATAGTCTGTCAAAGATTACAGCGATATGCTTGGTCTGCAAATTTTCATGCGGTGAAACATTAATCACAATATAATCCTGACCATAATGAATGCCTTTGTGGAGCATTAGCATTCCCAAAGTGAACAAAGTATTTTAGTGTTTGTATTTGCATCCTTTTATCCTTAATTCAGAATACTTTTTTCATCTTATAGTAAGAGTATTTCAGAAATATCCCGTTGCATCAAAAACAAATGTATCCTAGCATCTGTATTTCAGACTTACAGCAGATGCATTTCAATAACAGAATTCTGGAATACTTCTCCAAGTAACTGTAAGCCCAGCCCTGGCTACCTTTCCCTAGCACGGGCACTTGCCACAAATTTTCACTGCCTTCACAAGTGTTTTCACAGATTGAAGATTACATGTCTCCCACATTAGCAAAAAAAAAATCCACATGTATGGATAAACCTGGGTGCCACCAAGCTTGAAAATAAAAAACAAAGAAAGCTTTTTTTAGGTCAGTTTAACCTCCTGTCAACTTTAATTAAATTGATCATAGTAAAGAAAAGACCATAATTTCATAACTAAACTTCACCTCTCATGGCAGAATGACATTTTTTCCTACTATTTAATTTGGTCTTTATATACCTGGTTTTCCACCACTAATCCTCAAAATGTCTCTAACTTATTTCTACTGCATATTGTCACGGGGTCGTGACGTGGCCGAAGACAGGAGACTTTATGTTGGGATTTAACTGTTTATTTGGGCGAACCTGTGCCCGGTAAATGGAAAGTTTGATTACAGTAGCAGTCTTGCACAGATAGAAGTGAACAGAACGTCGGCCGTCGATCAACTACTGAAAAGTGGCGAAGCGCGTCGGCATTTATACTCTTGCCATCGAATGTTCTTGCGTTATCGCTGGCGGTGGCGTAGGTTCCAGAATAATCTATACAGTTCGCAGAGTAGGCCTGATCTTATCGAAATGATCTACTACAGTCCGGAAGCTTCTCCAAAACTGCAGGCGCAGGTTTGCGCTGAGAATTGTGTAGTGTTTTGGGACGATAACAAAACTTGGGAAATGGAACGTGACAATATGTGTTAACCTTTCCATTGTTGTCCCTTAAACCAGAGACTTCATGAAGGCTAGTGCCCAAACATGTACATGAGTTGATCTCTGAATTTAATTAAAACACGCTCCGTTGCTTTTTTCTTTTTTTTTTCAGCTTCCTCACGCTGTTCATTTTTATTCTGCTTTACTGAAACTCGCTTTATTTGCAATGTCTTCTAAGGCAACTCAAACACACCTGAAACAGCACCGAGCTTCCCTTGAATTAGGATAAAATGCCCCCCGCCCTCCCCCCTGCTGCCAACAGTACACCAACCCTAGTAGCACGCGATGTTGCCATTATGTTGAATCAATATCTGCATCCCTAAAGGGGTCCTCTAACACTATTGAAGTACCTATATGTTATCTGTGGTTTGCGTAGACTGATAGCTCAAGATAATTATAGCGTAGCTATAAGCACCGATATCAAATGATTTAGTATTTTAATCATGCAATAAAGTCACTACATCGCTGCCAACTGCATTACTACGTAGTGGCGCTCACCAGAACTTTGCGTACGGAAATGACGCCGGAAAGTTGCCCCATATCATTGGATAAATTTCACGTTAGAAGCGACCATGGTGTAAGATTAAAACTGAAGTTACTAATCTGTTTCAGTTTTCTTCTCTGGGCTTTTTCATCGAACCCTGAACAGACGCGACCACAAGGAAAAAAAGAAAAAGATCACTGCGACTACAAAACACGACAGAGGCACTGGCTGCCATTTCGCCGCTAGATTTTTGGCTTGCGCAAGTAGGATGTATCTACGAAAGACCTCTCTCTTTCCTCTTCTTGCTTTTTGGAATTTGCGAGCTGCCTCTTTCCGCATGTGCGCTGTTGAAGGGGTGCAGTGCACCATTGTTGTTCGTTGGGCAGCTTCCCGAACACACGCGAAGGGTCAACAACACTTCCCTCTCTTGGTCGTTCCACAAGTTCCTTTCTCAGAGTAAGAGGAGGAATTGACTTGGAATGTTGTACAAAACAGCAGAAAATTCCTCGCTTCGACACTGTAGCTCCCGCTCACGTTCTGGCAAGCCAGGCGTTAGGCACCACGCTTGTTACTGTGGTAACAAGGTCAACATGACTTTGAAAACAAAAAAATATAAAAAAGGTGCGAGCTTCCCCTATGTAGGCGCTTCCAGCTTATTTCATTGGGGCAGCCTTCTAACATCATGAGCGAGTGAAATGTGGTCAAGTGATCACGCAAAAATCGAGTTGAGGGCCAGCATTTTTTTTATTGTATTTTGAATTTTCCAAGTCGAATAACTTCAGATTGCATGCCGTTTTTGCTGCATCAGTCAGTACTTCAGTCTATACAACCCACGAATAAAACATGGGGGGTTGAATAGTGTCGGAGGGCCCTTTTAAGGCCACAATCGCAATGCTTTGGCAAGTGTGCGTCAACAGGGCATTCACATGTGCAACTAGCCCCATGTGTGTTAATTAAGACCCCATCAAACTAATAAGTTTGCGGAGTCTTTCAAAGAAAAGGGGGTTGTGGCCATGTGGGCTCTTTTCATAATATTCATTTGCAGACTCTCTAAAAATCTCTCACTCTCAAACAGAAGTTGGCAGCATATGTACAGCCGCAAATATGGGCTTGCTGGGCACAATGGTGACAGCGATGTAGATATTGGAAGCAAATAAGTATGCTTTCACGACAGAATATGAGCCTCATCTTTTTTTATCAAAGTGCTAAAACACATCATAAGTTGCATGTCTCACGAGGTGGGAAAAAGAAAAGTTATTATGGGATGTAGGCAAGAACATTAATACGCGTAATGTGTGTCCCACAATGCTGACGGTTTCCTCTGTGAAACCCAGAGCATCATGACGCTCAACAAGTTTTCATAAGCATCAAGGTTTACAGACAGTTTTAATTTGTGCATGCACTGGCCTCGGGGACGTGTGCAGTTTTTTTTAATCGAACAGAATTTTCACATTTCCTTCTACTTTCCCGGTATGCCTATATAACCTTTTATTGACAAGTAATACTGCACAATTTCTTGTCACCAACCACTCATCTAAAACAAGGGTAAGCAACCTTTTGAGGTGGAGGGCCAACTTGCGTGAAGTTTACACAACAGGAGAAAAGGGGGGGGGGGGGGGCACATGGGAGTAAGTCAAGTGTAGGAAGGATCTTTACTGACAAAGAGAAAAAATTCAGCTAATTGGCAATGATCATCTATTATTATTAGACACTGGCAGCTATCAATAAGTAAAGTAACCATCAATAATCAATCGATCATATAATCAATGTCTATAATCAGTAGAATCAGCAAATTATCAAATCAATCACAAGACATGATGTCACTAAGTGTGAAGACGTAGTACAATGCCAAATGGAAGCGACCTTTCTTTGCTCCTGCAAAAGCCAACTGACATATAAACTGCGTTTAGGTATGAAGGGGTAAGGGCAGCACAGGGGGAGGGGGGGGCTTGACATCGTATCTGAGGCCACATAGTGCTTCTTCGCGGTTCATAGATCGACGACCCCTTGTCTACAACATTACTAGTGCAACGCTTTCTTATTTAGCGTTTAACCTTCCTGCTAGTATATCTTCTCACCATCTTTCAATATGAATGCTTGATACATATTTACGCTGGCACTAATGAATTCTTTCTGTTTTATCTGCACTTTTCTGTAAGGTGCACATGTGGGTAATGAGGTGCGATTTCAGCAAAAATGACACATCGTACTGACCACAAGAAAAGAGACCTTTTTTCGTGTGAGCGCATGTGGGTATTGAGGCGTGCTTTCTGCAAAAACTACGCATCACAATGGTTATAGGAAACAGGAACGCTCTCCTGTGTGGGTGCACATGTGGTTAATGAAGTGTGGTTTCAGTGAAAATGACATACTGCAGTGACTTGTCGATGCACGAGTGAGCCACGAATTCGGAGTTTGCAGTGAATGAAGCTACACACAATTGGAACTCGAAGAGGTATTCACTAATGGTGACTTATTCCCCAAATAACATTTTAGTCACACAACCTAACATATGAGCTAATACTGCAATAAATTGTAATATATAACAGATAATTTTGAATTAATATAATGCTTATACATTGGAGCCACATTTGCGAAGCCGCCTTGGCATGCCCAAGTGATAAAAAAAAACTATTTCCATGTCTTAAACCGAGTAATGCCCACACCAACTTAACAAAGTGGTACACACATTTTAGTCATGAAAGTATTCCGTACCAAGCGTACCAGTGCACCAACAAGTGTACAAGTTACACCTAGAAACTTAATTGAATGGCTTTAAAAACTAAATCAAAGAAAGGTTACAGGCAAAATAGATAGCTCATTAACATACGCTCCAATCAACACACGCAATCAACAATAGTTCCAAAAATATCTGCAACACACATTATAGTGTTCACATCAGTCGTTCAGAAATGCTATAGAACGCTTCTCAAGCAATCGCTCAAACCAATGGTCATGCATTGTAGAATATCTGCAACATCTCCTTGACACCCTCCTTCCAATCAAACACACACTGCAACAATACTGCACACTTTCACTAGGATTCCACGAGTCTCTGTCTCGATTTTGCTGAACTTGAAAAAAAAAGATAGTTTTCACACCGATTATTTTAACTTGTTCAAAGTATGCACCCTTCAGTAAATGACATCATTGTGGGCAATCGTTAATACACCTATGAATGCACAAGCACAAGTGCCATGCCTAAACCAACACACTTTTTAACACGATATGATAGGAAACTGTATAATAAACTAAATTGATCGAAGTCAAAATTTTCCATTGCCATTGTGAGAAAGAATACAGCAGCATTTAAGTGTATTCAACACATGACTGTTTCTCAGATTTTAGCCTAATGAAAAGAAAATATTTGATATGTGGGGTTTAACGTCCCAAAACCAAAGAAAAAAAAGTAAGTAAAGTTAGTTGGTCGATGCTAGCCTAGATATCGCGTTAATTTCAAACTTAATGCGATGAATGACTAGGTTAGATTCATAATGTATTAAAAGATATATACTATAAAGATATTTAAAAGTCATTGTAAACATACTGCACTGTGAAAGCATTGTGTCAACATATGCACAGTTGATTTTCTCTCACCTACAGTTGCGTAGACATGTGGCACTTTGGAAAGACTTCTATATTTCAGAGTGTTCATTGTCACAGACGCCACCTCAGAGCGTGATGCGGTTTAGTACATGTCACATATTGGTTTACCTTGCCAATGCCTCCTTAATGACTCCCACCTTTTGCACTGTGCTTCTTCATCGCACTGCTCAGGCATGACTGACACACAGAGGAAGCCGTGCTTGGTCGTTGGCTGTATGCTGATGACGAAATCACCGATGTCGTGCTCAGCGCAGAAGTGGGCACAGTTGCGACAATGGGCTACACCTGCCCTCTTCGCGGCAGAGAAAGGTGTCAAGGCCGAGCACAACACCAAAACCAGCTGAAGCATGTTGTTCTATTCTATACCCTCTAGCTTCCCTATTTGATCACACAGTTGCCGTATTTACTTGCATAAATTGCGCACTTTTTCTTTAGCGATTTTGGAGCTCTGAAAAGGGCGTGTGAAATGACGCAGAGGCTTCACGAATGCTCTTGAAATAATGTGTATATACAGTGAGCTCTCATTTGAATGAACATCACTTGAAGAAATATTTCAGAACAATGAACCTTTGGAAAATCCCTGGCAGTTTTCCTATGCATTCCATGCGAAAATCTTTCAGTTTAAAAAAATTCGAATAATGAGTATTTCAGCTGAACAAACTTCATCTGCAGACCCTGGCTCATTCTTGAGATAAATCAATGCAGTTTTGTGCTCTGCAGGCTTAGCCAATGGGTCCCGCCATCAAATCCCCGACTTATCGGTGGCGGCGCAACATCGCCCGTACATGCAGCACTGTCGATGCGAGGTGGCCTGGGGCAGACTAAAACATGTCCCATACGCTTCAGTACCTGAGCAGAGCTATGAGAATTGGAAATTGTTTCCACTGTTTGCCCGACACCGAAAGAACTTTTCTTTCGACGAAGTGCGACGAAGAAGTTGTAATGGCTGAGGCAGGTTGATCTGTAACAGAGACTGTAGGGTATATTAAAAGTTGCGAGATTTCGTGTCACAGCAACACACTGTGCTAAATAAAGGCAGTGTACAAAAATGTACACTCTGTGAACCACTTGGTCCTTTCTTACACATTAAGGGTGCCAGTAAAAGTAAAAATTATAGAACTCTTTTCAAAGTGCATTTCACATATTTTACTCGATTTCTGTTGTGCCCTATGATGTTATTCTACTGCAGTTTAGTCAAGTTTCAGTTAAGTGAACTATTTCCATGGATCCCTTAAAGTTCACTTATTGGGAAGTTCACTGTAGTCGTAACATATGTGATTTATACATTAAAAAATAATTGGAGCAAAAATGAAGAGCACTCATTTATTTAACATAATCAGCCCCTTCTTTAGCCGGACAGTTACGCTCATGCGCTGTCAGTTGATATTACTGGCTGAGAAGTCTGACTAGATAGCATTATCATTGTTCGTGGGCATGCCAGCGAGCTGGCTCAGCAGGATTAGGAAGTGCAAAATACGCACTCATATATTTTTTTTAGTGAAGCTGTCAAAATCTTAGGGGTCAGCAAATTACATGAGGGTGCAAGTAATGCGCATAAATATGTATTTGCGAAATACTCACAGCAGCAGCATGCTCATATCGTACAAAAGTGCAGTTATTTCTTCATTGCATATTGAACTGTAGGGTTCTTCACTGGTCCTTCAAAACAGTATGCTAGCCAGCAGTCAACTTATTTAAATGAGCTCCACCAATGAAATTACAAATAGTTACTCAAAATGGGTACTTAGTTATGTGGGTAATTATATACCGTTAAGAAGGCCTCTTCTTCCCCCTCTATTTCATACTCCTTGTCACTTTGACAAAATTGTGTCTATCTTTACAGTAAATTACTAAACTAGGCAACTCTACCAAATTCAAACCAAAGTTCTACCATCACCTCTAATCATTGAACACATTCCTCGCATTGCACGTAGCCCTCTTTGAAGGAAGTCTGTAAATTATGCCTTTTCATAATACTGACAGTACATATGAGAATGAAGTGCTATTCCCTTGAAAGACGTGCATAGCAGTGAAGCAATACTCTGCGAGAAACTTTATTTCTCATTTATCCGATCCGAAGACTGTTTGGGCATTGTAATTTATGTTACCCTATGAAAATGTAATCGATCAACCCTCATTTTTTTTCCCCACAAGACAAAGGCTACATTCCACTCACATTCAAGCCATCTTCTTTGCATTACATCGAGACATGTGGTCTCTGAGGCTGTCTTTTTGCGAATAGGATGGATGGAATAGATGCACAGATGCAAAGAAATCACTGTTTAAGCCAGAAGTAACATACAGTACATCAGCACATACGTTCATATTTGCCATTAACCAGACTTGCAGATATGAAATTACGAGCATTTTTCGTTAATATTGTAATTCATTGACGATTAAACCTCTTTATAAAAGGCATGCTCCAGGCAGCAATTTTTATCTTTTATTTAAGAGGTCTCTTATAAGGAGGGTACCTAAGCATTTCTTTATTAACTTGTAATTTACTGTAGGCACACCCACTAGTCTTTTACATGAGTGTCCATTATAAATGGGTTCGACTGTATTGCTTATTTCAGTAACCAATTAAATGTATCTAGTTGGGTTATTTAGAACACAAGCTGATGTGTGCAATAAAAACTTGAACAATTCTATTTGGGCGCAACTGTACAGTTAAACATCTATGAATGTACCATGCAGCAGCATACAGGATGCGAATTTTCATTTAAGCTTTTTGTGCTGCTGATTATTTGTGTGCTCATATTAGCTCTCCATGCTGGCCCGCTCCTTGAAACAGGTGCTGCTGTGGCTTGATAAGCATGGCCACATCGAATGTTTATTCTAGGAAATCAAGTGTACAGGCAATTATTATACTTCTCATCAGAGTTTACGACAAGCTCATCAGAGTTTCGGATGAGCTCTAGAAATGCCTCTCTTCCAGCTTTCACTGTGACTGTACTGCGCTTTCTGCGCATGCCTGTCTTTTTTTTTTTTTTTGCATCCATTGTAATTTTTTATTCACAACCAACAAGATTGATGCTGGAATTTCTGCTACACGGACTCGTTAACACTACTGCATTAAAATGGCAGGGAAAACAGAAGTCTGGCACAAGAAAGACACAATCTACAGTGCAGTTGCCACAGTTTCTCTCACAAGTCTCCCATTACTTGAATTGGTGCAGCACAGCTGTTTATGCCCAAGTGAAACATCCATCCATAAACTGAAAGCCCCCAGCACATATATGTCGCACCGATATTTGACAAGCGCCACAACCCACCACTGCAACACTAAAAATAATGTCCGTAAGCAAAAACTGACGTGGCAGAAGGATCGGGCAAGCCAGAGTACTCACCAAGGGTACCCTGAAGTGTCGGAGAATAGAGCTCATGGCAAAAAAACACACGCCCCATCAAATAGCTATTCAAGATTGTGCACAAAATGCCAAGTGCCTGAGGCAAGTCGTACAAGACTACCGATGTGGCAGAAAAAAAAGACAAATGTTGGACAAATGGTAAACGTTGAAGAAGCATAAGCTAATTCAAAACAGACTTGCTGTACCTTTCATGAAAACTTTGAGCCTTTTTGAACCTTTTATAGAAATTCAGTATCAAATAAGGGCTGTGTGTGGCACAGCTTGGCTGGTCATTTACTTTAACAGAGTGAAAATTCTCAAGAACTTTCAAGTTCGGTAGTAGCAACAGTACAACAACTCGCTCGTCTTTCGGTATTTCTGAATTCAGTTCCCAACATACTGCACTCGATATATCAGTTGTATTACCAGAATGCACCTGCGAAAATTGTTTTACAAATTTCTGGGCAGCTCAACTTGAGGTTTCATTAGTGGAAGGTGGTGGAAACATATTTATTTATTTAATTACATGAAATTTTCTGCGGAGAAGCTCCGAGTAGTCGGACATGCTTGGCTTGCGGTGGGGGGGCCCTTAGTCCAGGGCTCCGCTTGCAGCAGCCGCTCTGCGGGCCCGGTTGATCAGACTCAATTGATCTTCCAGGTTCTCGCTGGCCAGCAGCTCCTCCCATCGCTCCGCTGTTGGATTTTGTACTGGTTGTAAGGCTGTAATGGCCTGACACTCCCACGTGACGTGGTACAGAGTGGCTTTAGCTGAACACCATGGGCAGAGAGGAGAGTATGCCGAGGGGTGCATTTTACTCAGGATGTGCAAATTTGGAAACGTGCCGGTTTGAATTTGCCTCCAGCTGACCGATTCCTCTTTATTTAGTGTTCGGTGTGGTAGCGAATAAGCTTTCCTAAGTCCTCTGTAATGGTTTAGGATGGCCGAATAGTCGCAAGGGACCGGAACGAGTTCCTCAGGGGCGGAGTTGGAAGGTGCTCGGCTCACATACCCTCGAGCTACCCTATCCGCTGCCTGATTCCCCTCCAGTCCCATGTGGCCCGGAGTCCATATAATCCGATGCCAAATTCTGAGTGGATGTGTAATGGAATGCTCGCCAGTGTCTGTAACGCTCATGATGACGCTGAGAGCGGGTTGGCTGATGCGCCCCTGTAGGTAGTTGCAGCAAGCTGCTTGAGAGTCCGTGAGAACTGTCAGCGACCTTCGTTGTCTGTAGCCGAGGGCGAGAGCGAGCGCGATGGCAGTTTCTTCAGCATCGGTGATGTTGCGGCACCGCACGGAAGCGCTGGTACGTTCTGTGAGTGTGTGCTCCACGACTGTGGCTACAGCCTTATTGTTTGCATGGTCGTAGTTGGCGGCGTCAACATAGTACGTAGTGTTTTTGTGTGCATAAGTTCGCTCGAGGGCTTCCACTCTGGCTTCCCTCCGGCCCTGATGTAGTCGAGGATCCATATTGCGGGGGATGGGAGCGACCTTATAAGTGGCACGAAGTTGGTCCGGAATGGGCTTGCGACGAGCTGCGTCGTGAAACTGGCTGACGTAGCCGAGGCGTAGGAGCAGGTCACGGCCTGTAGGTGTTTGCTTGAGCCATTGCAGTTGTGTGGCGAGTTGCGCTTCACAAAGTTCTTCAAAGGTGTTGTGTAGGCCCAATGCGAGGAGCTTGCTAGAAGGAGTACCCGGTGGTAGCTTGAGTGCCGCTTTGTAGGCCTTGCGGAGCATTGCGTCTACTTGGCCCTGTCGCTCTTGGTGAGGCGTTGGTAGGGCAAACTGTATGTCACCCTACTGACCACGAGGCTACGTATGAGTTTCAGAGTGTCCTCCTCGCGCATGCCATGGCGACGAGTGGCTACCCAAGATATCATTCGGGCCACTTGCAGTGTAGTGGTGCGGAGAAGGGAAAGTGTGTGATTCACATGGCGGTTCGACTGTACCCACATGCCTAATATTCGAATGGTGGATTTCTCTGGGATTTGTTTGCCAGCAAGGACAACCTGGAGGCGGGAGCCTTGGTTGTTCTGCGTCGATGGTGGGAGCTTGCATCGATAAATTCGTAGAAGCTCAGATTTTTTCTGTTGCACAGGCCAGGCCTCGTGCCTGCGCGTATTGTTCGACGCATGTGGCTGCCTGCTGCAGGTTATATTCTTTTTCTCCAAGGGACCCCCGCGTGGCCCAGACGGTGATATCGTCCGCATACATTGCGTGATGTATGCCATCGATGCGGTGGAGTTCATGTGCCAGGCCAACCATAGCTACATTAAAGAGTAGCGGGGAAATCACTGAGCCCTGCGGGGCGCCCTTGTTCGGAACCTTAATAACATCTGATCGGATGGAGCCGAGACCGACTGTGGCAGTGCGGTCCGACAAGAAGGCGTGAACATAACTGTAGACGCGCTGCCCACAATGAAGGGCCTCGAGGCCTTCAAGTATGGCCTGGTGGCTAACGTTATCAAATGCGCCCTTAATGTCTAAAGTCAAGATAATGTTTTCTCCTTGCTGGGGGGCGTTATCAATGACTTCTTTTAATTGTAGCAGTACATCTTGCGTTGAAAGATGTGCCCGGAACCCGTACATTGAGTGCGGGAAAAGGTCATTGTCTTCGAGGTGATCTTGCACGCGATTAGTGATGACGCGCTCGAAGAGTTTACCAAGGCAGGAAGTGAGGGATATTGGTCGGAGGTTTTCGATCTGAAGTTTTTTGCCCGGCTTCGGTATCATTATGACCTCCGCGTGCTTCCATTCAGGAGGAAGCGTGCCACGTTGCCAATGATCATTGAAAAACGCCGTGATTTCTTGTACGGCACTGTCGTTGAGGTTCCTGATAAGGGAGTACGCGATTCCGTCTGCCCCAGCAGCTGTGTTGCGATTGCTGCTGCGAATGGCTGCGTAAACTTCGTCCACCGTTATTGGTCGGTCGAGAGTGTCATTGGCACGTCCACGATACGCAGCTTGAGATGCGGGTGGGTAGAAATCGCCAAAGCATTTTCGCCGGACTTGATCCAGCAGCTCATCGTCAGTACCCTCAAAGGCGTGTATGAGGCGCATGACTGACTTATTCGTCTCATTTTTTGTGCGAGTGGGGTCCATCAAAGCGCGCAAAATGTGCCACGTGCGGGCCGTGCCCAATGAGCCTCGAAGAGAGTCGCTAAACTGGGCCCAATTGAGTCCCGCCAGTTCTGTAGCGTACTGCTCTGCCTGAGTGGTGAGTGTGGCGATCCTTAGCTTGAGGCGTCGGTTATGTTTTTGCGTCCTCCATCTGCGGATGAGGCTCCTTCGGGCTTCCCACAGATGTAGCAGATGGCCGTCCACTTCCGGCAGTGTAGGTGTTCTGTTAATGGTGGTGGTCCAACGCTCTCGAATTTCTTTAAGTTGGGTGCACCAGTCGGTGAGGCTTGTGAGGCTGTCGAGTGAATATTCGCTCTCACGACGAAAGGCGTCCCAGTTTGTGATGCGTGCTTCTCCAATAGACCGACGCGCTGCGCTCCCTGTAACTTTCGTGTGGAGAATGAAGTGGTCGCTGCCCAAGAATTCCTGCAGATTGTCCCAGTTATAGTTTGCACGGCCACGGGCGAAGCTGAGATCGGGGCAAGTGTCCCTGCACACACTGTTGCCGATCCGGGTAGGGAACGCGGGATCCGTAAGCAGTTCAAGCTGAAATTTTTCAGTGGCAGCCGCAAGCTGTTTGCCTTTGACATCCGAACGGCTGTAACCCCAGCGTTCGTCGAGAGCGTTGAAGTCGCTGAGCAGTAAGAGTTCTTTTCCCTGGGCTAATCGGCAGGCACCTTGGACGAGGGCATGGAAATCAGTGTTTTTTTGCTTTGGGGCGCTATATACGTTGACAATGATGATACTTTGCTTTTCTCCTTTCTTTTTTTGCCTGAGAACTAGCTCCACAATCACATGTTCTATGTTGGTGTCTGGGATATTGTCTAAGCCAACTGCGGTTAGCGCTTTGTCAATCAGGATGGCCGCTTTGCCCTTTGTTCGACTATTATAGGACTCATAACCTGAAAATATGGGTGGCGTTCCGGGCTCCTGAAGCGCTATGACATCTGGCCGAGCAAGGTGTGTGTTAATGTACTGTTTGAGGAGGCTCCGCTTTCTGCGGAATGTTCGCCAATGAGTGGGGCTGTGCTGCCCATGGTTAATTCGTTGAGTGGAAAGGCATGGGTATCGGAATCTCGGCTTGCGACGCCGATGTAGGAGTGAGGGTGAGGGCGCTGGGTGTCAATGCGGGGGTAGCGAGGATTTCGGATGCATGTGATTCCAATCCTAGTCTATGGTAACCTTAATCTGTCGTGGCGTACGAGCTACGAGTGGCCCTTTTCCTGCGTATGTTTTCGCCAGTTTCAGCAATTTGCGCCTCGAAGCGTATCTCGAGAGAGTCGCGGCATTCTCCGAACTGCGTGAATACGGCACTGAATTGTTGCGATAGCTGCTGCGCGAGCGTTGAGAGCATTTCGCGTAACTCTTCGCGTGTGACTGTAGTGCCCGACACAGCAGGAATTGATAGCGCCGTTTTAGGGGTCTTCTGTCTCTTGGGGGAGGTTGGGGGGTTTTTTTCGGGGGAGTCGGGCGGCGATCCAAGACGTGCCATTAGGGCATGAAGTTGAGAACTGTCCTTTGCTTGACGTGCCCTGACGGCCGCCAGCTCCTGTTTGAGTTTTATGTTTTCCGCGAGAAGGTGTTCGTATGCGGTGGACAGGGTATTGAGTGGAGCGATGGGAGGATCTACATTTGCTGACCAGCTCACCTTATTGTCGGCACCGGCTGATTGAGTGGGATTGGGCTTCTCATTATGCTTGCTGGAGGCGAGCTGGGACTGTTGACAGGTGGGTTGCTGCTGCTGCTGCTGCCCCTTGGTCATCTGGTTCTTCGGATGTTGTCGCTGCTGTGGTTGCTGCTGTTGGCCAGGTTCCACAGAAGGGAGGGGCGGGAAGGACTGTGACCTCGAGCGTGAGCGGGAGTGGCTGCATGAGGTCTCGTTTTCCTTGCTGAACCACCTACGTTTGGGAGTGGGTGGGTTACGATGGGGGTTGCGACCCCTGGCTGGTGCTGCTGGTTGAGGAGGTGGCCGTGGGCGCGGGGCCTTCAGTCTCTGAGAGCACTCTTTCGCGCCCGTTAAGTGGGCATCTCCACACAAGTGACATTTGGGAGCACAGGGGTGACCGTCAACGGGGTTGAGGATAACACACTGCCGACACACGGGAGTGTTTGGCGTGGGGCATACGTCTGAGCGGTGCCCCGGTTGTAAGCAGACTTGGCAGGCTTGTCGCGTCGGCTTGTACGGATGGCAGGCCACCTCCCCACCGTAATACAGTACATATCGGGGCAGAAGGGGGCCTTCGAAAGTGATCACGGCAGATTTGGTAGCAGCAAGCATTCGTGCACTGTGCACTGTCACTCCCTGCGTGCGCACGCGGAGGTTGGCGGTGAGTTCTTCCGGAGTTGTGCCAGGGTCTATCCCATGAATAACTCCCCGCAAGGTGCCCTCAGGGGCCGCCACATAGGTATTGAATTCGTAGGTCTTCCTCTCAAGCGTGAGGGTGGTGATCCGACGAAGAATTTCGGCCGTCTCAACATGTGGCGTGCTGGCAATGATGATGTTCGACCCGGGGCGAGTACGTATAATGAAATGATCACCAGTACAATGTTGTCGTGAATTGCCCGCCAGTGCTACGGCTCGGGAGATTTGATGCGTAGTGAAGTTCCGAATGGCCAGGCCGTTTTTCGGGCGCATGATGATCTTTATGTCCGTGCGTGGAAGCGGCGGCAGCTTCCGTCGTAGCTGGCGCGGCTTCGTTACGGGTGGTGGTGTTCGCGCCGGTGCGACGCCGGCCGCGTCTGCCTGCGCAGCAGGAGCGCTCGCACCCGCAGCTGCCCCGGCGTTGACGTGGCTGGGCGGAGTGCTTGCAGGACCGGCCGGCTGCATCAATTCCGCTCGAGCTTTGTCGAATTTTTTCTGGCGTTGACGCTGGCGACGGGAAATCGCCAGTTTCCAGTTGGCGTCGGTGTCGCTCGCCGGTCCCAGCGATGCAGACGATGTAGGATGGTGCACGGCAACTTCATCTTCGCTTGCCGAGGTGAGCTCGTCGAGGTCGAGAGATTCCGTGTTAACATGGGTGTCGTTGGGACTGAATGCAGGTTGAACGCATCCTGTAGTAGTCACGTCAGCAGTTGGCATAGTGCTAGCGTCCATATTGTTGTGGAAGGGGTCCCGCCGTTAGGCCTAGTCACCCGTACTCGCACAGGCGAGCTGGGTCGACGCTTAGGCCTAGCGGCCCAGCGCTCACATGGGTTCTTCTGAAGGCGATAGAGCAAAATGGAGATGCTCTACAGCCTCGGGAAGGGTGTGCGGTTCCCAGGGCAGTTAAAACTTGATGATTCGACACAGTGCCGGCGACGATATCGAAGTAATCCGGTCAACGAGAGCACACGTTCGGCGGAGCGCATGCGACGCGCGTCCGCTCGCTCCGGCGTCCAAGCGCGTCTCCTCATTAGTGAGCTGCCATTAGGGCAGGTCGTGTATGAGTCATGTCTCTTCATGGCATGAATATGGGAGGAAATTTGGACAGCAGTACAACTAATTGCCTGAGCCAATCTGTAGGTGTGCTGTCTGGCTGAAGCATGTCCTTACACGCAGTTCCACAGCTTGACAAGCTAGTTTTCACCAGGATGTCTATGAGTGAAGTGGTTCCCCTTTTTCTTGATGCTGGAAGAACAATACACAGAGTGTCAACACCATAAAATGCTATACAGCTATGAACACCTGTACGGTCAGTACAAAATACAATAATCAGCAATGTAGGTCGGTGCTTTACCTCCCCCACAGCACATAATGTTTAGGCATGAAAGGTAGAAATTTAATGTCTAAAACGGAGAAATATCTATACATGAGCCTGCTTTCTTTACAAGAATGAAGCAGAGTGTATCAAAGAGTCCCTGAAACACTTCTTCAAAATGGGATATGGAAGTGGCTTGACTACAAGTGAAGTTAATTATTCATATCACAATTTAAGCAAAACACCTCGTATCAAGGAAGCAACCACCAATAAACTCTTTATATCCCAGCTTCCAGATAAGAGAAAAAACATATAAGCAATTCATGCTAATACAAACACACAGTCTTAAAAATCTATCTGAAATGTTAGCATTACCTCAAAGTTCTATAGACTCATCTCCATGTGACAAATGCTGCAAGCAGCGCTCGCACTGTCATCTGTTTTTCCCCCCTTCTTGACTGCATAGTATCTTTCCTTCTCGCTCAAACTGAGCTGCGTTAAGGCAATATCATTTTATTATGCCCCAACTCGTCTTTTCAGCAGTACTTGTCGACGAGCCCGGCGAGCTGTATGCCTAGATTTTTTTTTATAATTTCCCACAAACGCCCATGTTGGTTCGGATCATTTGACTTTATTCAAGACAAGGAAGCATTGATGTGGTTTTTATTATATAACTTTTGTTGCACTGTGTGCAAACCAAGTTCTATAAGTTAAGATGTCGCTGCAGTGTCCACATTTGTGAATGGCAGTGACACTGGGTTCTTGTAATAAGTTGATTAAATGCCATAGACAGTATCAAATGACGTATGACAGTAGGACATGCTACACAGCCATATCGCTCTACACAAGAAGTTATCTGTGATAGGGCAAAGAATGCCTCTGAGAACTGGTGTTCAGAATTCATGTGCTTTATCAGTGAAGCGGTCTTGGTAATACAGATCTATGTGGCTTAATTTTGATAACGCCCAGCGGAAGTGAATGTTTTGATTTGGAGAGCTCTGATGATACACACGTCTTTTGAACTATGCTATTGATCATGATGAAAGTGTTCAATCTGAACATGAGTGCGTTCATCGTTATGACAAATGCACTCATAATTATGAACACACTGAACAAGAGATCTAGGCAAGCAAAAGCTCCTTGAATGATGACAGCAATAGTGATGTTGAAAGCATTGAACATGAGGATAAATGCATTGATGATCATCATGAAAGATAAAAGACGAATTTGTAGACTCATAGCCGTTAGCAAGGAGGCCCTATGAACAACTATAATGGTGATGATACTGATGATGAGACGAAATATGATGAATAAACAGTCATGATCAAAATTATTAGGGCATTGAAACAATGTTCGTAGGAAGCGGAAAAATAAGCTACACTGGGACAGCAAAAAATAAAGAATGAGACAAGCGCTCAACTTCAAGTAAGCATTTATTTAGAAAGGCAAAGACATATATAGATGAAAGAACAAAAACAAATAAACACTTAGTTGGTGTTAAAAGCTTGTTTCATTTCTTCTTTCTTGCTGTTCGGTGTAGCTTAATTTTGCACTTCCTATGAACATGGATTCATACTAACCAGCTTTATCTACATGTTTGATATGTTGAAACAGAGACATCAGCAATCAAAGTTCCAATGTGCGATAAAAAATGGTAATGGACCCAGTGTGTCTAGTGTTTCCAGCACCCACATATGTGGATGCCTGTTTTCCTCAGGAAATAAAGCTAAATATTACTGGTTTTAAGGCTATTTCCTCTCTCATCTCCAATGTTATTGTGTAAATGCAAAAAAGAATTTACACACACAACTGGATAAGCCATGGATTATAAAAAGCTGAGTGCCAACACAAAATTTGCTAACCTCTTTTTTTTTTACTTTTGCCTAATCAGAATCTAATGACCTGTTGAGTCGGGAAAAGAGTCTCATTTGCCCCCGTTTAAAACAAGTATTTCACTATATGCCCTTATGCGACGACCAGTGGTAGTTTGACTTCACAAAGCACTTGACGGCCCTTTGATGTACGTGACCTTTCGTAAATAAGTACTATCAGGTGACTGCAAATGCCATTAATGTCAGTGGCAACCTTGTTCCATACTGACTGTGCTGGTGTTTTTATTGGCTAGGTTGCACACTGTGCTGACTTAATTTGATCATGAAACCATGACACTTGCCTAGCGTCACAAGTTGCGAAGGTGCCAGAGAGGAGCCACACGGTTCAAAGGCTGTACCGTGACTAAATAGTTAGGATTTTCTCACCTTCTGTTTTACTGCAAAATACGGAAAGGAGTCCTAAATTTGACGAATCAGAGATGCCCTTCAAGCACTTCATTCTGGTGGCATCAGATGAAGCAGCCATAATGAATGCATCTTTCAAAGCTCTCTCCAATGTTGAAAGATTTAAGCATTGTTTTTCTTACCCGCAATTATAGAGGCGCAGAATGACTTGCTGAATGACGTCGTCAGTGCTCTATCACTTGATACATCTTCATTACTGATGGAGTCTCACTTCGAGACAGTGCAATATGTTCTGCGGTATCTGTGCACAAATAAAGGCAAGAACACTGTACTCGCACATTGTTACACTTGTAGTAGCTTTTATCTGTGTGTCGTTTATATTACAGTTTAATGTTATCATGTAATGCTAGTTTTGTTTTACACCCATTGAAACACTTATATGCAATGTTCATTTATTGCTTTTTATGCCGTTATTGCTGCTGTGCTTGTTTTGAATTGCATATTTATCCCCCCTTTTTTTTTGTTCTTTCCTAACATAAGTCTTCTTTACATTGTATGCCCTTTTTTGTGTAAGCCTGAAAAGGCCCACAATATTGACTACATAAATAAATAAATAAAAATAGAGCATAGGGCACTGCCAGTCGAGTGTCTTTTCTAGCATGTGGCATGTGCTAGGTATCTGTTGTGGGCTCAGAAAGTCATCGCACAGCCTAAGCATTGACCATGTTTTTTAACAGCGGAGCTGCTTAAAGGGGCCCGTGAAATGTTTCCCAAGGACTTCACGAGTATTCAAAGTCCTGGCCATTCATTCAATACTACATTGAATCCCTCATCTAGATTCATCAACTGAGTTCATTTAAAGGGGCAGTGACACAAAATTTCGTGACCAAGATAGCCTTTAGGATCAATTCCTGCGAACATACATATACTATCTACAAAATAAACAAAAAGTATAGCTGGAAAGGTATCTTTTGTGAATTTTCGAAGCTTGCATGCGCGATCGTACAAACACCTTTAAAAGTGACCCCCCCAGAGTACCCTCATGTTACCATGCTACAGACAATACAAATTATGATGATATCATAGCCACCATTTCTCTCTTGCCGCATTTGCTTCAGCAGACTACTACTCGGTAACTCCTCCCATGTCCGTGGCCCCAGCGCACGTGCTGAAAGCTTTGTGTTTTGCGACAGTGCTGCCTCGTTTTCTGTTCAAAAGGACTTCTTGATGCGGACAGTGAGGAAGTGCATCACAGTTCTGTGTGCTGATGCATCGAGAGAGTAGCCCACGCTAGGAGGTGATAGCTGCACACAGAGGCTCTACGTTTAGGAGCTTAACCTCTTAAAAGGAAACCGAGACTGGTCATTAAAGAGGAGCCTGTAATTATCTATCATGCAGTGCAGCAAAGGATGTGCAGTATTTTGACTAACAGGCCACCAGGAACACATTGCAGGAAAAAAAAAACACGTGGCCAAATTTTTTGTATCAGTGCCCTTTTAATAGCTACCCAAAAGAACAATTTCGATTACCCAGTCCCTGTTCCCTTGAACTCTACAGTACATGCCATCTTAGACCAGCCAATCTAAAGCCTTTATCGTGGACAAAACATGGCGAAGCAGTGAGGCCCGCTGAGCCATCTATTGTTTCAACTGCAGTACAGTAAGGATGTCATGCATATAAACCGTGCTGACAATCCAACGCTAATACACACAAAGATGAGTCAATTGCTATACAAAATTACAAAAAGAGTTTTCACTGTGTGTGCCCACATGTATTGCCCTGAACAAAAAAGGCTCAGACAAGTGTGCCATAAGTCGGAAACTGCTAGAAAAAGATGCAGGCACTGTTTATGCACCTCTCATATTTTTTTTTTTTTTACCAGGGCAAGATTGCAGTTTGCTCTTGAACTTCAAGCATCACTACGAGCTATAATATTGCTGTAACATTATTTTGGTTCCTATAGCTGTAATATAAATTCACTATTGTAGAGCAAGCAAGGACCAACAGTGCCTTCATAATTTTAAATGTCCACTGATGGCGCCACCTCGCTGGTACACATGACAGCCAGTGGAGACACACGGTCATTTTAGGATGGCGAGCTTTCTAGGATTTCAAAGGGGTATCATTAAATATAGGTGGAACAATGTGCTAAGATATTTAGAAATCAGCATGCTCAATTTATTGAAGCAGTAAAAGTTACAACCAGGCAACTGGATCTTTTTCTCGTGGCTCTTTTAAGCTTGATAAAACTCTGCATGGAGTTTGTGATTATCCGCCACTGAAAGCGGATATTTGCCACACAGCTCCTAGCACAGCAGAGCCATGCACAGTATACTATAGTATAGCAAGAGAAAAGTAAAGTAAGGAAAGTGATAAAGCATAGCAAACCTTTGTATAGCATAACAAGGGGTTGTAAAGAAATGAGAGAAAGGAGTGATACGGGGTGGAGAGAAAAAAAGGAATGGGAAAGGTTCATAGTTTCCTAAATATACACTAGAGGGACCCCTAGTGCTAGTGTCTACGGAAGCTGCAACGCACGACGCTTCAGTTGTGTGGTAATGATAATAAAAAGTAGTTTATGATCATATGAAAAAAGTAGTTTATGATAATAAAAACCATGGTGGACATGTATGGCATTAGCACAAGTGCCTCGATCGTTTACACCCTTGCATCTAAGGGCTGTGAGGCAAGTGCTTTGTTCAGTGTAGCCACCGCAGCGTAGACCTGTCTGGAGAGGTTTTGCTACGGAATGCTCGGGTATATCATGTGAAGGGTATGAAGTTCTCTCAGAAAAACCAACGATTTATGTGTGAAAAGTGGTTCACTACCGACAAACATTGCAGGATGAAGTGGTTTCTGTTGTCTGTAGGGTAATGGAAAGTCTTGTCTTCTCAGCGTGTCTAATTGTTTCCACTGGACTAAAATGTGAAGTACAGTGAGTGCTTCTCCACATCTATCACACAACGGTGGATCGCCACCAGACGAAACAAATGAATGTGTAGTGTATGTATGTCCTGTTCTTAACCCTGTAAGTATCACTTCTGTGTGGCGTAATTTCGATACTGGCGCCAATGACCAAGTTGCGGCTTGATGACATGCAATTTATTACCTGTGTGTGTGTGTCCCATGTGCTCTACCAATAACCTCCGAGCTTTCGTTTTAGAAAACGTTTCAAGTTGAGTGCAGGAATTGGTATCGATGTATTGGTAGCGGTTCTGTTGGCGGATCCAGCTAGCTGGTCCACCAGAACGTTGCCTTGTATTCCGCGGTGTCCTGGCACCCAGCAGACTACAACATGCTGCTTGGATGAGTAGACTGTGCATAAGAGTGAATAAAGCGAGACAAGGACAAGGTTTTTGTGCTTTTTAAGAGTTTTCAGAGCTTTTGCTACGCTTAGGGAATCTGTATATATTATTGCCTTCTGTAGCTTTATTTGTTTAATGTGTTTAATGGCCGCAAGTATCGCATAAGCTTCGCCGGTGAACATGCTTGTATCAGAGTGCAGAACGCCGGCTTCCGAAAAAAATGGGCCGACGGCTGCTTACGAGACAGAAGGTGTTGGACTTCGAAGCATCCGTAAATAACTCAGGACATGTGTATTTCTGTTGTGGTTCTAAGAAGTATATCTGAATATGTGCAATAGGTGCACGCTTCGTAACCTCCAAGAAAGACACATCGCAATCTATCGCCTCCCACTGTCACGGTGGCAGGCATACTGCAGGAGCCATCAAATGGTGTTCCAAGTGGCACACCAGTTTCCTTCGCTAAGCCCCTCACACGGAGTGAGTAGGGCTGCCTCATCGAAGGCCGTTTTTCAAACACAGCAAGGCTTGACATCTCATTAATTGTGGAAGTGAAGGATGTTCCTTGTTTGCATTCACTTTAAGATAATATTCAAAAGACATGTAACATCTTTGTAGGTGGAGCGACCATTCATTCGATTCCACGTACAGGATTTCCATGGGGCTGATGCAAAGAGCACCCGTAGAGATGGACGCCAAGATGATGAACAGGGTCAAGCATTTCAAGGGCAGTAGGTGTCGCAGACTGATATGCTATTGCCCCATAGTCTAGGCTAGTACGTATGAGGCTTGTATACAAATTGATCAGACACTTTTTGTCACTTCCTCACGTAGTGCGTGACAACACTTTTAGAACATTCATGGCTTTTATGCACTTGTTTTTTAGATACTTGATAAGTGGTGTGAAGGTTAGCTTGGCAGCCTAAATTAGGCCTAAGAATTTGTGTTCAGTATTAACCGAAAGACGTTGCCCATGCAGTTGAATATCGGGTTCCGAATGAATGCCTCTCTTCCTGGAGAACAAAACACACTTGCTTTCCTGTACCTCCAGTCGGAACCAGTTTTCTTCTGTCCAATTGGAGACTTTGTTCAAACGTAACTGAACCTGCCGCTCACACATGGCCAGATTACAAGACTTGAAAACAAGCTGGACGTCGTCGACATATGTGCAGTAAAATATAATTCGAGGGATGGACAAGCGCTAAGAATTCATTTTCATAATAAAAAGTGTGCAGCTAAGTACACCACCTTGTGACACTCCTGTTTCTTGGACAAATGCTTGGGAAAGAACGCTGCCCACTCGGACATGGAATGTCCGATTTGACAAGTAATTTTCGATTGTGGTAAACATTTTGCCACGCACGCCAAGGTGAGGCAGATCTCTAAATATTCCAAAGCACCTTGTTGTATCGTAAGCCTTTTCGATATGGAGGAACACAGAGAGAAAATATTGTTTGTGGACGAAAGCGTCTTTGATCTGTGCCTCGATACAAACAAGGTGGTCGGTGGTGGATCTACCCTCTCGAAACCAGCACTGAAACGGATCGAGCATATTGTTTGTTTCAAGGAAATGTACAAGTCGGCAGTTTATTATTTTTTCGAAAAGTTTGCACAAGCAGCTTGTAAGTGCAATAGTCCTATAACTCGAAACTGAAGAAGGGTCTTTGCCCTTTTTCAAAATGGGAATAATAATAGCCTCTTTCTAGGAAGTAGGGGTAGCATCAGAAAACCAGACAGCATTTAACAAACAAAGTAAAGTTTTTTGCATTTCGATTGGCAGGTTTTTCAACATATCGTACACCACTCAATCAGAACCTGGGGCGAAAACACTGCAGGAGTTTAGTGATGCCTGGAGCTCAGCCAAGCTGAAAGCCTGGTTGTATGCTTCTTAATTCTTGTTTTATGTTTTTGAAAAGCGTCAGTATAGTTTGACGAGCTGGACACCCATTCGAAATGTGCGCCGAGGAAGTTCGCCTGATCTTCCAAGCTGTCACCATGT